AATTTCAGGGATAGGATAACCACACCTGCCTCATTCACCGTCACAGGACAGTCCAACCGTCGTTTCCGACGATGTCCACCGTGTGCTCCACGGCAAGGTGAAGCAGGCGCGGTGACTTGGGCGGGAATCGGCTTATAGCGAGGGTAGACTTGCGCAGAATCTACAGCACTCTCTCCTCCCTACCTTGGCTCGGTGTCAAGACACAGTCAAGAAGACTGGAGGCGTGAGCGGGCGCAGGTGGCTGGCACGGCCGGATCAGCACCTAGGCGTACCACCACACCCCCAGGTCTGCAACAAACACTTGACCAGGATTTTAACCAAAAGCAACGCAACAACGGGTCAGAAATAGGCGGCTGACTAGGCAACCACCATGCGCAAGACTTGTATACTCAGCGGGAGCGCAGGCACATCCACCGACAGGGACCCAGGTGCCAGACAACTGGCAGTGCACACCAGGTTGCGAGGGCCATGGTTTGCTGATCATGGCATAGCAGACGCAAACAAACCTTCACCGTCAACCTCAATCACAGAGGATGAACACGTGATACTTGAGGCCTAGCCAGTGTCCCAAGGGGGGTTACGATGTCCCGAATACAATCACTTGTACGTGGGCTCTACCATGGGACTTCGAGATAACATGGACTGCTCTGGCATTCTGCTCTGCAATCAGACGAGGTCGGTGAACACCAGGTGAATTTTGAGGCCATTTCAAATTTCTTCAAAAGACAGTGACACAAAAGGCGTTTTGGGGGCTGGGTGCGATCTGAGTGCGCAACCCCCAACGGAAGAAAACGCTCCAGGTGAAAGTAACACCAAGTGGTGCTTTCTCCTTTTTCCAGGATACATTCCGGCGTGATCGCACCTGTGGGACAACGTCAGAGCGACACACTGGAGCGCACACTCAATAAGCCTCATTTTTTCACATTCAACCCAGTGATTTTTGGTCTCTTTTTGCACTTTACAGCTGACTGATGTAGGTCATGTCACGACAGCGAAATGCGCAGGAATACTCAGGCTCCTGACACGTGTGCCTGGATTGCACCCGGTTTGGACACAGCTGAGATTGTAGGTTTTAGCAAGAGGTTCTCCTAATGATAACTGCAAGAATAGGCAGAAAGAATCGGTTCCCCAGACGGGAATGATTTTACGGGGTCGCAAATTCAGTTTGAACGAAAGACATCTCCTCAAGAATGGCACAATATGCGTGTGAGTGGCTCTAGAACGCTCACAACTATAGACTACGAAGTGGCACTGCATCATTAAACCATAGAAGGCAAGGCTAGGTGGTTCAAAGATTAAGGAAGGAGGGACCTTACTTTTGTGGTGGCAGGATATGCTGGGCAGGTCGGCCAGGATGTCGGACCAGAGACGCTGGAACGGCTCAAATCTCGCAACTATGTGCAGCATCCGAATGAGATCTCGGCCGAGTTGTGCGCATCTGTCAAACTACAAAGTGAGAAGGGGTAGAGAAGAAAAATTGCACAAATTAGGGCCGGGAGTGGAAAAGTCATCCCTTCAACCCGAACGTGAAGAAGAATGGGGGGGAGGGCGAATGAGGCTCGTCCAAACCCACAGTTCCCGTTGACCAGCATATCCAATGAGCCAATCAAGAGATTGCCATTATCTGGGCCTTCGCTGCCGTCAAAATGAAATGGGACGTCCTAACGAGACCATTCGCAGGATATGCGGAATTGGTACAAAGACGGCTGAACTAACGCATACAGTCCCACAGAAAGACGATGGAAGAGGCCAACCAGAAGAATAAGGATTAAAAAGAAGTTACAGACGTGCAAATGGGCCTTGATGTTTTGCCGCACAAACAGAGAAGCCATAGCGTGAGGTTTCTGCTAATTTTTAGTACGTCACACGCGATGTACATGTGGAGCTGAGGAGGCACAGGGTAGAGGCGCGGCAAATGGGGAGAGCTAGTGTATGCTACGCGAGACTGTCTGATTTTTGTGACCGTTTCATCACTCAATGAGGAACAAAGTGGCAAGACAGCGGTTGTTGAACACGCCTGGTAGGCGCGTTCTCAACGAGAAAAGTCAATCCACTATTTAATGTACCTTACTGGACGTCACGAGCATTGCACCAGCCCAAACGTCCAAAATCGTCAGAAATTAATTAGACCAGCTGTAAGGAGCCACGATATTGTCTACTGTGCTGTGAAAAAGCATAGCACGTAAGAATGAATGAGCACCAAATGCGGCTAGTCCAGACTCACCAGTGTAGGCCAGGAACTTAAAATTCGTACGGTGCCCGAAGCACTTACAAATTTTGACGGTAGCATATTCCTGAAGAAAGTCATTCTAAGCTGCCAAGGAAAACTACCTGTAATTGCTAATAATAATAGTTCCAGAGCGTAGAATTGACCGACTATCTAGTCTGGAAATAGACTCTTTCTTACGAGATCATCGTTCCCGAAACTACTCAAAAAAATTAATTCGAGCCTTAGTTTGACTTCTGTACTGATGCTTGCGTTTGACTGCCCGTAACGGGAAGCTTCGTTTAGGAGAAGTCGAT